GGGCGCCAGCTGTCCCATTTGGCTGCGCCTTGGGGTTCCTCTCCTCGGGAGGTGTCAGGTAGCCCGCGGGGCCTGTGGGAGCTTCGCCGCCGCCGCCGCCGGGGTAGGGGCAAGGCATCTCCAGGGAGTCTCCAAATGGAGAGCCGCCCCTCTCCTCGCCGCCTTGGTCCAAGCCGGGGTCCCCCTCGGGGATCTCCTTGTGCTGGGTCTGCCGCTTGTGCTTCATCCGTCGGTTCTGGAACCACACCTTCACCTGCCGCTCGGTGAGGTCGAGCAAAGCGGCGATCTCCACCCGCCGAGGCCTGCAGAGGTATTTGTTGAAGTGGAACTCCTTCTCCAGCTCCAGGAGCTGCGTGTTGGTGTAAGCCGTCCTCAGCCGCCGGGAGCCGCTCCCGCCGTGGTCGAGGAAGCCCTGGACGGGGGGGGGGGGGGGGGGGAGAGAAACCAAAGGAAACAAGCAAATACAAAGAAAATGTAACCTCGAATAAAGGAGGAGGCCCGTCGAAGAACCCGTCTGGCGTCCCTCCGCATCCCCTCCCTCCGCGTGTTTGGAGGTTAAGCCTTAAATGGGTGCGAGTCTCCCAGCTTCCCACCAAAGGTGTTCAGGATCGCGCAGGCACTTAAGGCGCAGTCATAGGACACCCCCTTCCCCCCCCCCAGATTTGCAGAGGTCCTTCAGGGCGAAAGAAGGAGCCCAGCAGTGACACAGAGGGGGCTGGGGGGTGGGAAATGTATATAGTTTAGGAGAGGGCTCAATGGAAGGGAGAGCTTCTCACCCTGGAAGGGAGAGGTGGTCCTTCAACCCACGTTCAGGGGGAGACCAGAACGTCACACCTTCCGCTCCTCTCCCCGTCTTCCTGCCCTTGCCCACTTCCCCAGCCCTGGTGGATGCAGACACCCGCCCTGGAGACCCGGTTGTGGGCGTCAGCGTCCTCCTCCTCCAGAAGGAGAATGTGCAGAACGAAATGCCAAACCTGGACTGATAGCCCACGAAGGGATAGATCGTCCAAGAAAAGAGGAAACCGAAGATTGCAGTAAGGAGGACCAGTGTCCCCCTCAACCTGCCCGCCTGCCTACTTGTCTACCGACCCGCTGCACCAAATAGGAAATCCCAGGAGGTACCCCGACCTCACCTCACCCGGCGGTCCTCCCTGCTCCGCCAGGTGCTTTGGGTTCACCCACCATGCCCATTCCTTGGGCACTACGAATCCAGCACCTTTAAGGGAATATGTGTGTGTGGGGGGGGGAAGGCACTGAACAAAAGGTCTGGAGCCCCTCTCACCCTCAGTTTGGTGAACGTGGGGGGTTCAGATGAGTTGGAGGCGTCTTGAAATGAGAGACTCTTGCTTCCATGGGATGGATGGACAGGCTGCCTTGTGAATGGTTATTTGGGAGAGGCGGGGGAGGGGTGAACGGCTATTTATTCCCGTTTCTCTCTCTCTCTTGCCTCTCCCCCCCCCTACGGCCACTAGTTTCCCCACCCATCTTTCTCCCAGTCTTGAAATAAAGCAGCTCACCAACTAAAAATAAATACACAAATAAATAAATAAATAAAAACACCCCATCGGGAAAAGAAAATTCCCTTCTGACATTAGAAAAAAAGAAAAAGAAAAAAAGCTGGGAAATAAACTGCTTTTGAAAACACAGGCGATGGGGGGGGGTGCCTTAGTCACAATGAGGCTCAAACAATCATAAAAGAATCAGGGGAAAAAATGAGGAGGGTTTTTGTTTAATGTGACACCTATGAGAATTTTTAAGGATTGACTGGAGAGGGAAAGAAAGAAAGAAAGAAAGAAAGAAAGAAAGAAAGAAAGAAAGAAAGAAAGAAAGAAAGAAAGAAAGAAAGAAAGAAAGAAAGAAAGAAAGAAAGAAAGAAAGCTAATTCTGCCGTTTTAATATTTTGGGGAGCTTTACATCAGGTTAGCATTAGGCAGGCACGGTGCCCGAGTCCTTCCCCTGACGGAGTACATTCTAAGCAGTCGGGATTTGGGGTGTCTCCATAAGTCCCCTCCAGTTCCACTCCAGCCACGCCAGTTCCCCCCCCCCCGCAACCCAGCCGCCCCCGTGTTGAATGGGGTACAGACCTGCTGGAGAACCGACGGCAGATCCAGGCAGTGAAGAAGAAGAGGAAGATGGCGAAGAAGAGGCAGGGACCTGGCCGGCTTTCTTAAAGGATTTCTTCTCCTTCATCCAGGGGAATTCTCCAGCCAGAGGAGCAGGCTGCAGCGGGGGTATCTTGGCCTGCCCATGTCTTGGTCTCTTCGGGCTCCTTGGCGTAGCCTGGCTGCTGGAACAAGGATCCAAGCTGAGGAGGGTTGGTTCCAAAGGAGGAGGAATTAACGTCGGTGGTTCCTTGATTGATGAAGTTTGAAATGTCTCCAGGACAGCGGGAAGGGACGTCAGACACTCCGCTAGCGACGGCTGGCTGTTTATGAAGCCTATCTCCCTCTCAAATTCAAAATTCATGGCTTTTTCCAGGGCCCCAGTCCAAAATGGA